ATTGGTAACATATATGTGTGAGCTCGATGTATGAGAAAAAAATTGTAACAAACAAAATATTAAAAGATACTGGCGTGTGTTGTTTTCCAAAGAAAACAAAAGTACATATATTTGCAGCAAGCTGATGATTAAAATGAGTTACGGCAAACAAGATATCATTACAAATAAATTGTAATTTACAGTCGAACACGTACATAACACTTATCTCCAATCAGACTGTATTTAAATAGACGATAATGGGAATCTAACAACAAAGCAATCTGAAAAACGTGATGACGTTTATATATCTATCATCAACTTCCCTTACTTATGAAGTAACATACCTTCATCACCCGCATACGGAGTTTATACATTTCAGTTGATTCGATACGCAAGAGAGTTATCTACGTATGAACAATTTCTAAATAGAGGTTAATTATTCACAAATAAATTGCTGAAACAAGAATATTAGAAATGTCCTTTAAAGTAATCATTTCGTAAGTTCCTTTGGTCTATACGATGACCTTGCAGCAAATAAAAGCTGTCATTGAGTCAAATGCTGACTGATTATTGTAAGTCCATTATTTGTACACAGAATTGACGACGGGATTTCCCGTTATTTCCCGATCATGACAAGGAGCACACCACCGGTCAGCAGAATTTGCTTACTCATCCATTGCACCTGATCCCACCTCTGATGTTTTGGAGGTCTGTGTTTGCTCCTATTTTGTATTGTTTTATGCACCTTGATATTGAATATTCTTCGTTATCTTCGTTATCTTCATATCCTAGTATATCACACCAAGCATGTCCTCCTTGATCCATGTGAACAATCTGTAGACTTCAGTTTGAAATTTTGTCCCAGAAATAAGCGTTAAAGATTTCATCAAATGTGTCAGCCTCTGTAGTACCTTTGATTCGAGCGTAAACAGATATATACCGAATGAAGTATGAACAATAATGAATAATTCATAATTGACAACATTCTTTGTATTAACGTTGGAGTACATGTACTTCTCAGTACAATTAGATTGCTTATTTAAACAATACTTTGCATTTTTTTTAATGAATTCATCCTACGAGAATGCATTTTTATAGTAAAATAAATAACGACTTGAATAAATGAATTCAATTTTCTCTTAAATGCAATTAACGATTGATTTCAAGATTCATGATTATCATCTACATATGTACTTGATAACTTTTTTCACTTTTTTTGGTTCTTGTCTGGTCTGCCTTTGCTTTGAACATTGGACCTGATACACATGGATAATTACCGGTCCTGACACAAACAAAAATGCTGTTGACTTCAGTTAGTCTTACTTTAAAAACACTAACACGTTACCTTTTTCTTCGTGATGCTTATCCCTTTTGATAGAACAGTAAACACCGTGTGCGACCGCTCGACCAGTGATGAATACTCTTCCTTCGAACATAATTTCTCATGTAGATTTTTCAAAGTTTTCGCGTTTCTGTCTAGTTCACCATGGTTTCTTTCACTGGATTTTATGAATGTAATTATTGCTTCTTCCAAATAGTTTTTTCCTGTACACAAACCAAGCATTCTTAATTCATTCCTTCTTTAATAGCATGACGATGCTTCATACCAGGAGACACAAAAATGCAAAGACAACTGCCCAGGTAGGTTAAAAATCAATAAAGATATTCTGGAAATTTGGCTGAGTTGTGCATTTAAGCAGTTAAGTATTGAGTCTAGATCTGCTTAAAGGTATTGGATGTTATTCAAAAAGGTTGGTAGAAGATGTGGAACTCTTACGGCTAGCGAGATACTTAAATCCACATGAATTAGGGAGAATTGCTACAGAACTCGGAATCCTCAACATGGAAGTCAAACGGATAGAGAGAGAGAGAGCACCAATCAATTGATGACCAGAGATTTTACGTCCTACATGAATGGCGTAAAAGATCACAACCTACATTCTCCGATCTGGGATGAGTGTTGGCGCAATTGCAACTTGACAAACACACACTCTGTGAGGTGAAGAAATAGATATATATTGAGTAAAACGTTCTGTAAATACAGATATATCTCCTTTATCCCTCTCTCCATTTTCCCTGAAATGTCCCAACACTTACACGCAAATCCAGTCTATCATCTTCTTTGTCCTTGATTTTATGTGACAAAAAGCTTTTCAAAGATTCCATCAATTTTTCAGGTCATTAAAAGCAGCAATTTTGAAATAAAAGGTAAGTGCTATCTTAGATTACTTTTAAAAAAGTTACTGCTTTAGGAGGAAGAAGAATGCATTTTTTAAATTCATACACTACTTGATGATTTTTTCTTCTTAAAAATCAATCTTCAAACACCATTAACCAATAAAATTTTTCCCTAGATATTAATTCTCCCCCCCCCCCCCCCCCCTCTCTCTCTCTTAGAACAAAAAAATTCAAGCTTTAACGTGCGTTTGATCTATAAACATACTTCTGAAAGTTAGTATTTATTTGTAAGGGTTAAAGTTATTTTATGTATTACCAAAGTATACAAATGCAATTGCTAATAAATCAGAATCTGATTTGCTGCGAAGGACACGTGACCGTCGTGATTGTCCTGCGACAAAACGCCATTTTTCAAGACTAGACAAAAGGAATTAAAATTGCTCATACCCTTTGTGATATATTTTGGTTTAAGCATTAACAATTTTTTTTATTCTTTTAAGGGTGGACTGTTTTTGAGGACTTTCTTTTATTTATCTATCTTATTATTTATATAATAGTGTTCTGTCTTGCGTGCATAAGGCCGAAATTGTAGTCAGAGTTTAACACATGGTGCACGAGCCGGAGGCGAGTGCACTATGTGTCAAACCCTGACTACTATTTAGGCATAGTGCACGCAAAACACAACACTATTGTTATTATTATGCTGACTGTTGTTACTGTATAAAAACGGCAATATTTTCTTCACTCCCAATGTTTCATCACATGTTACATTCGTCTACTTTATTATGACGTCACCTTATGCAACATGAACGTCATAATCTTTTTCTTTAATTTTGAACGTTCCATTGCTTTAGGTATAATCTACAGATAGTTTTAGAGAATATTATTTGAGTGAAGGAAGGGGGGTTGCAAGAAACTATTTTAGAAGAATTATTTTCTTTATTTTTAATTTTAATTATAATATTTGAAACTAAGTTTATATATATTATGGTACATCATCATAGATAACGGTGTCTGTGGCGTAATCGGTAGCGCGTCGGACTATAAATCTCGGGGTCGTGAGTTCGCTCCCCGTTGTGGGCGTTGTCGGATTTTCCTCAAAAATGGAAGCCGTGCTCTATTTCGGCATAGTATGTTTACGCTATATAAATCCTTAGACCACTATGCGAGAATACTAGGGTATGGGTTATATTGAGACAAACTAACAGGAAGCATAATAATTTGCAATAATACATACTTTTACCATTTTAATAGTCATGGAAGATATCCCCAGTAATAAACTGGATAAAATTCTATCCGATGAGGAACTGGATCAAGTGACAGGATACATTGGACGAGGATATTTTCAGCTGAGTCTAGAGTTGGGCCTTACTGTTAGCCGAATCGAATAAATCATTGACGAACACAGATATAACGTTCTGAAGAGAATCAAACGCCTATTGCAAGAATGGCGAAAAAGAAGTCATGTGAAACCTACAGTAAAGATTTTTGGATGTGCATTGTTACATTCTGGTGGTAACTTACATTCATTTTGTCAATTATTTACACCAGAGCAAGAGGATGATTTGTGGCTTCCGCGATCCTTGTTTCCAAAATAAAGAAACGAAAACTTAAATAAACCGCTATGTCAATCAAAATCATTCAATATCGTATCTTTTTTATTATCTTTCTAAAAATTATGTTGCCTTTTTTCAGCTCACCTGAGATTTTGTTTTAAGAAAAATAATTTGTTTAAATTAATCGCAAGTGTAAAGAAGTCTCACAAGCTATAAGCATATTGTATCATTTTCCTGTTTTGCTATAATGCATTCTAGTTTAACCTTATTTTACACTGTACTTATCATTTTAAAACGTGTTGGTTCAATCTTTTATTTACTATCCTATTGTACATTAAATTATTCAAGTATTTTTTGAGAAAGTAGGCCAGTGTTTTTTTTTAACTATTTTAACTTAAATATAAACAGTTTTTCATTATTTCCATAAATAGATGACTAGAAGGATAGTCGTGAATTGCAGGTAATAAACATGCACAAGTTGCTTATCTTTCTGACAATTCAAGAAACTGCACTTTGTCAATCACTTAAAGAATATAAATTTTTCCGAACTGATAAAATATAAATAGAATAGCTTTTAAAAGAATCCATTAAAGGAGCTATAAAGTCAATCAAGTTTGATTTTTTATCCAGGCAAAATTTTATTGACAAACAAATGGGGATGATATTCGGCAGCAAGTAAACCTCTCCCTTAACCCTGTTTTAATCAGTAGAGGTTCAGTATTTTTGTAATAAATTAGTGAAACTCGTTTAGTACGAACACGGATACATGTATGGCGAATTTACAGATATAGCGACGTTTTTGGTCCCCGGCAAAATTTGTAACAAATCTTTGTAAAATTCTACGGTTGTAACGATCTCTGAAATAACTAATTTAAGAATATAGAGAACTGATTTTGAGTCCCGTTGAGATTAAATATAATGAAATTTACATCTTTTAAAACGAACTTTCAAAGATCTTAAAATGTGATAAATTGAACTGACTTTGTTTTCTTTACGCATCTGTAAATAAAATTCATTTCATAATAAATTTTTAGTTATCGGAAGTATGTTTTGTATATTTGCTTCACTGACACATTTTATAGTTACACCTGAAGGAGAACATGCATATTGCAAATTCGCTACATACGGTTTTATGAATTCGTTATAGGGTTATAACGAACTACGGATATAGCGAATAAAATTGACAGGTCCCCAGGACGTCGCTATAACCGAGTTTTACGAGGGGTGATAAAAAAATTCGCAAACTATCTCTATATCTACAAAAACACAATTCAGATTAGAACGAAATTCGGTATACACATAGCCATACACAAGTTCTGTAAATAGCATATACTGAATAAAAAGTTTCTCTCCTTGTTTTTGACGTCACAATGTGAAAATGACGTCACTATTTAGGTCATTTGTAACGAAAAATGGTTGTCTCAGTCGTCCTCGTTCTACAAACGACTGTACAATTTATTGTAATATCTTAGAAAACCCTCTACAGTATCATATAATAATTTGTACACAGTTCATTGAGATAAATGAGTTACTAAAAATTCAATAAATGATTGGATTAATCTTTTTTAGGGAAGGAGGCTGATGATTAAAAATGATACTTGCCATCTTGCCCAATGAAAGCAAGTTTGAAAAGATATGTATTTTTAATTAAGCAATTTGCTATCAAAGACCTCCAATTAGCACTTTGAAAAATAGTTGAATATTTGAACAATGATATAAGTATTAAATACCTAAGATATCGTTTACTTTAGATTTTAAACATATCAGATATGATAAAAAGGATGCACACATTCTCTATCCACCTATTTTTGGAAAGGACGTTATCATCCACCCGTTCTGTTGCCGAGATATGACCATTTCTGACAAATTAACTGTTCTTGTCATAAAAATAAACTCACATGGAAATAAGTATAAAACTCGGAAAAATCTTTGAACTTTTGTGACAGAACGCTACGGAGGGGGTCACCTGATCGCCAATATCACGTGATTCGCGCATGCGCAGAACGGTGTTTGATGTGCATTAAAATCGGGGAGGATAAATTAAAAATATAATCAACATTAAAACCAAATATTGTTTCTTGTATGGAATTAAGTTTGCTAGTTTGCGAACTTTTTGATGACCCCTTGTACTGTAATTGTTAAATTTTTCAAATTTATTAAATTATTTTTTTTTTCTCATTGAATTATGTAAAAATTCTATGAATCTTAGTACATGCAAGTTTCTGTAACAGTTGTATTTCTAAAATATGTTTTTTTTTCAAAAGGTATGGTGTCTTAGCTCACTTGAAAGGAACTGAAATAAATTTCCTGTTAGTGTAATCATTTTCCCATTACACGTGTTTGTCTTTTTGAATTTAAGCACACGCATATCAATATCTATTGCATTCATTAATCTATATTTACTTAATTAGTAAAAAAGAAAAATCATTTACTAAAATAAGTATATACATTGTAAATAGCTTTGTGTTTTAAAGTTATGTATGATCCCACTATACTCAATACTGAAGCATAACATGGAGACATGAATATACATTTGTGCATTTAAAAAACTAAAACTATATATACCAGTGTCTATAAATTTACGTAAATGTATGAAGCTTGTGTCTGTATACTGAATATGTATATTCTAAGAAGTTAATTGGCCCTGATTTTTTGGTGTTGTATTTATGCTTTGATAACAAGTTATTGTTTTCAAACTACAGTGTGCATGCTTTTCATTTGTCCTAGTGATATTTAATACACTGATTGAGCATTTATCAAGATAATACATACATTGTAACCTTTGTTAAATTTAAAAGTTCTTTTTTAATTTTTTGTTCTTTTGAGGTAGAGCCACTTTGGGCCTTATTTGGCCCTGAGAATTTCTGAAAATTAAAAACCGCTCAGTTTAGGTTGCAAATTTAGAATTTATCACTTGGACTGTTGGTGACCAGGTATCTATTAATTGTGACGTAATTTCACATCTAGTCAATGCATTATGACGTCATAAAATGCGTCATTTTCCTCATATCCTGTAAATTCCTTGAAAATGACGTAAAGTTGAAGCGTTTTTTCAATATTGTACATAGAGCACAACTCTGATCCAAAATATGCCAAAACATAGTGAAAGGCCTATTTCTGAAGATCAAAAAACATGTTTTATTTTTTGGATCGTGGGCTGTGCTCATATTTTAATTCTTTGCTGAAGGTAGTCAAATACAGTGGACCTTCAGATATCCGGACGCCAGATATCCGGATGCTTAAGTATCCGTACGATTTTTCATAGGGACAGCATTTTTAAATGTTATTTTGTCTTGTTAAACTGGTGATTCAGGTATCCGGACGCTTCACATATCCGGACAAATTGACTGGGAACCAAAGCGTCCGGATAAATGAAGGTCCACTGTACTCA